TCCCACTTTAGCATGATCTGAGGTAGGAAGTCAGCACAGAGGCTCTCCCCATCTTCCTCCACCCCTTCTTCTTGTTCCCCAAAGGTGACTGTTGTCACGTCCACCTCTGGGTACTGGGCCTTCACTTTCTTTCTACAGTCGGTGAAGGCCACGATTGCGGTTGGTAGACGGTAGAGCTTGAGGATGTCCTTGAAGATGCTGGAGTTGAGGAAGTTGCCAATATGCTCCTCCATCCCATTGTGAACCAGCGTGTTCACGTTCTTCTTCAGTTCCGCAGCTGCTTTCCTCATCTTGTCCATATATTTGTCCTGCGCCTCGAGCTTCTCCTCGCATATCTTCCTTTTACGCTCTTCGAGGCCGAGCTTTGTGCTCAGGACATCATTCTCGTTCTGCAGCTCGGTCACTGAAGGGAGAACTTCATCCAGCCTCCTCTGCATCTCCCTCTTCTGCTTCTCCCACTCCACCTTCTCCTTCACCAGCTCATCCTTCTCCCTCTGAAGCTGGTCGCACTGCCTTTGCAAGCTGGCACGATCTCTAACGCTCTCTGCATACTCCTGCGCTAGAGCGTTTGTCCAGCTCGCACTCTACAATGCAATCAGAAATCAAACATCAGCCACAGGAAAAACAACCCAAACATACAACTGGAATAAAATCTAACTATTTCGCATACCTCCAGGGCATGCCTCACAACGGTATACCCTGCATGGCTAACCGCCTCGTCCTTCGCCCGCACCCTATCCACCTCAGGAAGGGTAGCGTTGAGGAAGTGCTTTGCCCCAGTCCTGTTTGTTGCCTCAAACAGACTTTTCTGGTATATGTGCGGGGGGGTGCGCTCCCTGCCCCCATCAAGGCCTCGCACTTCGACTTCTCCTCTCTCCCCGTGTTCAGGAGCGACTTCTGGAGGAGAAGGCTGGGGCACAAACTCCACCACCTCAGTTCCCAGCTCTGCCACCCTCCTCTTCTTCCTCTGGAGAGGTGCCATCTCCTCACTCACCTCTTCACTACCCCCCATGGCAAGCTCCGGCCTTGGCTGCACCTCCACAGCCGGGGCAGAGACGCTGGATAGTCGCCCCCCCCATGTCACCTCCTTCTCCGCCGCAGTTGAAGTCTTTGACTTCTTCCTTGGCTTTTTAGGGATGCGCAAGCCTCCAGCAGCAGTGGTAAACTCCTCCATTTCAGCTGCAAAACACGCACAAAGGTCAAAACGCATAAAGCAAGATCTAACTAACATAGCACAATGCAAACATACACAGACCTTCGCTCAATGAGCTTGGCCCATAGAGCTTAGCAGCCTCTATTGCCTGCGCACTGGTGAGGTGTAGGATGTCCACCACGTCTCCGTCCTCTCTCACCAGCTTCTCCACCTCTTCCACCTCATCCTCATTTAATTTATAGTTGTTCTGCTTGGTTTTCTTCGCTTTCCAAGCAGACAACTGTTCCACTTCGGCATCCCTCCTACTCCACTCGGGGTCATCCACAAAGAAGAAATTTTCTTTCCACCCTTTGATGGATGACGGCCCAGGAGAAAATAAATTCCTATTCCCTTTGCTGGACGACTGAGGACCGAAGTGGTACCACCCTCTCTCCCCCCTACCCCCAGCCTTAATTATAAAAAAATGTTTGAACATATTTACGGTTGGAACCCCAACCCCCCGAACTCTGCAGTATACAAGAAAACCTATTACTACCCTCATGGCATTTGGAGTTAGTTGGGTTATTCCTATACTATAATCTAATAATAACCCAACCAGTAATTATGGGATGGGAAACCTAAGCCCTGCAATCAAATAATGTAGGTATATGGGCATCCAATGATCGCGGGGTGCTAAGCAGGCCCTCTCATTCACCCCGGCAGGTCTAAGTAGGACATGATGAGGAAGGTTGCAATTACCCACAAGGGCCCTTAGACTATCCCTGCTACCCAACTCACTCACATATCCCCTCACCTCGGCCACTACCTCTAAATCTGGGTCATAACACCCATCTACGCCATTCCCGGCCTCCAAAATGTTTGAGGGGATTTCATCCTCCTCCTCTTCTATTACTGTTTGCTCCATTCTATCCCCCACCGTCCTCTCCGAGCTAGTTGGAGACGGACTGGTCTCCGAATCCATGCCACCATACTCCAAGGGCACTACCTCACTTCCCACTACACTCCTAGCCTCGTCTGAAGACATCTCAACTTCTGCATACAGGGGGAGGAGCGACGAAGTCAGGATCCTTAACAATTCGAGCACACTCAATACATTTTCACTCTCAACCCTAATTTCCCTCCAAAAAACCCAAAATCAAGCACAGAAAGGGAGAAAGGAGAACAGCGTTTTGACAAAACCAAAATAAAAAA